CCCCCCCCCCCCCCCCCCAGATCGGAGCCAACTTAGTTATGCAATAATTAATAAACTTGTAACATTTATCATTATAATTGTTGTTGTTATTAGATGTTGATACTGTTGTTCATATTTATTGACACATAGTACTCATTAGGTTCCAGTGACTAGGTGATGACAATGACATACCAAACTACAATCCGCTGGGTTTTAGTATTGTGGTAGATGTTAGTTGCTTGACTAATTGCATTCCTGTGTAGGGTGATTTGTGTGGTGTAAAATGTCCACAAGGAATGTATGGATATAAATGTTCCCTGACATGCATCAACTGTTTGAATGGTGCCGTCTGTAACCATGTGAATGGAAGCTGTACTTGTGCTCCTGGATATCAAGGACATAGGTAAAATTCCTTAATAATCATTCTTGGGTTATGTATTATTTATATTACAACTCTTAGTACAATGTACACACAAACTTGTTTATCTTGTAATGATCCTCAAAAGCTAATTAAAACTATTCTCCTAACCTAAAGGCAAAGGTAAAGGTAAACTTTATTTAGCCAGGGTTGCCCATTCAGCGACGAGGCTGATATCCAGAGGGGCCCTGGACTAAAAATTTCCTTTCCTTGATATTTTATTTTAAGTGTGAACCACTCATTAGAAATTCTTATCAATGATCAGAGCAGATGCTGAATATGATGTCAAGCATTCAGGACAACTGATACCAGTTGTTTTATTCTTACATATTCACATTATATTATTTTCCCACTTGGACACTTGAGTCTGAAGTTTGAACACATTGGTCATGGAGTTAGTGCCTGTATTTTTGTTGCTTTTATCTAATTAGAAAAATTAGAAGTTAAATATGACCTTTTGGCTTGCACCACTTTGATATCATGAGCACTTAGAAGTGGTCTAACTTGCAATTTAATATACATGTACCTTCATTTTATAGTTCTAACTGCCACAACCTTTCTCAGTGATGTCATTTTTAAAAGAATGTGGTTCTTTTTAGATGTGGAGATACCTGTCCTACCGGAACCTACGGGAATTTCTGTGCTGAAGAATGCCGCTGTAAAAATGGCACATGTTCTCCTGTGGATGGTACATGTAATTGCACTGTTGGCTACACAGGTGCATACTGTGATCAGCCATGCGCAGCAGGCTCAGCTGGGCTGAACTGTACTAAGCATTGTAATTGTACTGAGCACGGAACCTGTAATCAGTTCACTGGAAAATGCCAGTAAGTAGAATATGTGAAATAGAAAGAACTGATGACGCACTTTGCAGGGCACTTAAGGATACCAGTAAGTCAAACTGAGTTTGAAAAGTTACATGTATAAAGATACAGTCTACCCTCGGTCACTGGTCTGGAGTTTATTCAAAGCTTCAGATAAATACAAACATACTTTCCCTAGTCCTCCTGGATGGGATGTTACTCCTTTCCTCCCTCTATGTTACTCTCTTGTTGGTTAAACAGTTTGGTTGTATCTAGTAATCAACTTCTGGCAAAGAGGGGCAGTGGTAAGAAAGATCCGACAACACAACAGAACTGATGACCCTGACCACCACTTAAATCTAGACTAGTACAACTCAGTGTAGAGTTAAAAGGCCTAAATGTTAATGTTAGGCTGCTCATTCATCCTGGCCTTGGTAAATGTCTTTACTTCATCTGGCATTGAAAAAGTCCCAATATCCAGCATGCTATCTCCATTAAGTTCAAGCCATTTTCTTTGCATTTTATTTTCTTATAAGATGTCAGCCTGGCTTTAAGGGTAACCACTGTGAACTGGAGTGCAGTGAGGGTTTCTTTGGACCTCAGTGTAATGGAAAATGTCAGTGTCTTAACAATGCAACTTGTAACAAGGAAGATGGTACATGTGACTGTCAGCCAGGATGGATAGGAGTTCACTGTGACAACCCCTGCCCTGCTGGGTACTATGGCAAGAACTGTCAGTCAAAATGCAGGTGTCAGAATGGGGGGTCTTGTGACTCTGTTGATGGCAAATGTACATGTGTGAACGAGTGGCAAGGAAAAATCTGTGATATCTGTAAGTAAACCATGGTTTACACGTAGCTTTTGTACCCGTATCTCAACATTGATACTAACAGGGTGTTACGCTTTTCACACTGACTTTACCATGAGGATGTTATTGGAGATATGGCTTTGGAACAATTTTATTTTTGGATTATTACTTTCAATTTCAAATAACACAAGTACAGATGAGAAGTTAAACATTATTTGAAATTACCCCTTAGATTAAGAAAACCTGCTTGCCACATAGCACTCACTTTGTGATACCCATATACTGAAATGTGATGTTTGATGAATGTGTTATTGAAAACACTGAAGTCTTTTTGGTAGAGATAATAATGGCATAAATACTGAAATGCATCATCTTACGAAAAATGGTCCCCAACATTCAATCAGGAAACATACTGAATATAGTAGTGTGAACAACCCACTGGAAGTAATAAGTACTTACACCCGCTTTCAGTGTTATGTGCATAGGCGACATCTTTCGACCATCTCGCGACATTCCATCTTTCCACATGGTCTGTAAATGGCTGAAATACCGTTTACCTGTGAAACTAGCAATTTTTTCGGTTATTAGCGAAACAAATGACAAGTATATGATAATTACTGACCTCAAATGACCGAAGAAGATTGTGGACTCCCAATTTACAGGATAATTCAAACAATTTTAGTGTAGTTGATTGGCTCTCAATAGTGACTTCTGGTTTAATTGGACCGCTACTGCTCAGTTAATATTTGAAAGATGTAAACATTCAAGGTCAATTTATCCCTCACAGAATGTTTTCTTGATGCTCCTTAGTTCGATGTCCAGTAAAGCCATCTTTCATGACTAAAAGTCGAGTTCAGCCGTAAAGAAGCCATTTGTGCTTACATTTTGACGTAGCCAGGTTACATAGCATGTCAAAAGATGGCATGTTGAGAGATGGCTGCTATACACGTAACACTGAAAGCGAGTGTAAAATATATATTACAAGTAATATTTTGCAGTCATTTGTTTACACTCTGTGCCCTTTCACCTCTCATTTTCACTTTATCTGTTTTATATCATTGCAGAATGTTTTAAGCAAACAAAAGCACAACATAATGGCTTTCTTAACTAATAGTTCAGCTGACTAGAAATTCCCCACTAGTTTCTGGGTAGTACTTGCTCCAGAAACAGATAAGACTTTTAAGTCCGAGCTCCCTGCTATCAAAGTCATTTTCAGCGAAGACTGCTCCATTCCCACTCTGACCTCAGAGCAATTTTCTCAGACTTTTCTCAGTCATCTTCATTAGCACCTTATTTTACAAGCAAGTGCTTTTCTTTGATTTTCCATGTGATAATGATTACAATAATTATGATTATAATTTTACTTGTGTTTCAGTGTGTGAAAGCTGGACATATGGTGTGAACTGCAGAAATTCATGCTTTTGTAATCAAACTCGGACAGAACGGTTAGTGGAATTTGTTGAACACAAGATGTCATGAACCTGCAGTACAATGTAGCTTTAAGGTGTATACTTGGTCTCCAACAAAAACGAATATACATGTATGGTCTACATTATACTTAAAATATAAAAATCTCTAAGGTATCCATTAACATACATTACATTAGTGAGTAGACCCTGTTGCTGGCTCCTGGCAAACTGATTGGCATGTAATATCCATCAGCAGATTTTTATTAGTTCTGTGCTATTAACCGTACCATTGAAACAACAAGATACAACAACCATATGGAGAATAATGCAGTGTGCCGTGGTAACCAGCACTGTCTTTAATTACAGACTCAAATATAAGCAAATATAACACTCCCTGGGGTTTGGATACCCCAGCTTGCACAACAAAAAATAATAAAGGCTAGCAAAAACAGAGCCTAAAAAAAAAAAGAAATTGTGAAAATTCAAGCAATACAAGGCAAGCCGAGTGCGTATCCACCACAGCAGACACTTGGAGGCCAGAAAAAACCTCATCAAGATTGGTGAAGGAAATCTGGGTAGGAACTAAAGTAGGCTACGGCTGCCAGGCCCTCCTACTGGACCCCTAATAACGGACTAAATGTCCATACACTGAGCAATAGCAATAAGCTCTTCTAACGAAAACTTGGACTTTGGAATCTTCAGGCCAACATGCCTGTCTTTCATTGAGGAATCAAGACACCTGAACTCTGGATCGTTAGCCCCGCTGATTAATTCTAATACTATGTGTACCATACAAACTTGCATCAGAAGTAAAGGGTGAAATGTAGGACTTAAAACTAGCATAAGCTGTGGAATAACTTATCCTAAGAGACTCATGAAATCACTCCTTAGAATGCCTAGAATTAACGATCCTGCAAACAATAGGATAGCTAGAACCACTGGAATCAGGCAGCAAAGACAATATTCTCTCAGTTATCCCCACCAGACAGGTAGGTTTCCGAGACCTAGCTATTACTGAAACGTACCCATCCTTGTACTGGTCGTTTTTACGCTCAATCAGATAAACCTTTTGAAATCTTCAAATATGGAAACATCCCGCATTCTAATGCTCAGAACTTCACCAATACAAAAAACACCTGCTCAGTCAGATACAAGGCCACTTGTAAAGGAACTGCCGGAAGAACAGATACACCCGGCTTAGACTGTGCCCAGGTCCTCCACCTTTGTCACCCGTTACTGTACTTGTAGGCTGTGTTTGCTGTGCTAGAGTCTAACAAAATATCAGCCAGATGCGGAACCATTAACTTAAAAGACGGATCCTGAAGATTCGCCGTGAAGCCCCGTCCTGCAAGATATCTTAAAGAAACAAAAATAAGGTTAGCGAGCAAACAACACTGCGCAAAAAAAAAATATAGCCCAGATAGGAGCAGCTATCAACAAACTGCTACAACAGATGCACCCTCTCAAATGAATCAGCCTAAGGCAGACAACATGATGCTTCGGTAAGAGCGGCATCACACATCAAGTGCTAACCCGTGGTATACAACTATTACCACGCTCAAAACTCACATGACTGTAACAACGCACACAAGCCATGCCACCCGGTAACCGTAGCAAACGCATGCCACACACGGGCCGACTGATTAACTGCAGGCAAATGCTCAACAATACAAGCAAACTGTAAAGCCTAGAAATGGTAAATACAAAAACAAACAGACAAACAAAAACTGACAAGTTGGCAACGCTAACCAACCAACGCTAACCTTTCTTAAAGAAACAAGAATAAGGTTAGCGAGCAAACAACACTGTGCAAAAACAAAAAGGTAAATATAGCCCAGACAGGAACAGTTATCAACAAACTCCTACAGTAGATGCACCCTCTCAAATGAATCAGCCTAAGGTAGGAAAAATGATGCTTCGGTAAGACCGGCATTGCACATTAAGTGCTAACCCGTGGTATACAACTATTACCACGTTCAAAACTCGCAGGACTGTAACAACGCAAACAAGCCATGCCGCCCAGTAACCGTAGCAAATGCATGCCACAAACGGAACGACTGATTAACTGCAGGTAAATGCTCAACAATACAAGCAAACTGTAAAACCTAGAAATGGTAAATACGAAAGCAAACAAACAAACAAACTCTGACAGTTCGGCAACACTAACCTGAAATCTATGCCTAAGGCCACCATGCTGAATTTTGGGCAACCAAAGAAAACCGAGGGCTTGCCGTGATAAAAAACCTTTTGGCCGGGACCAGGGATAATCATATCAGATCTTCTGGGCAAGCGTACGAAATCCACAACAAATGAAGCAAATCTGGAAGGGCGAGGCTTCAACAACGGTCAGAAAAAAGCCGACAGCCATTCAGGAACGATGAGTGTGCTGACCGCACGGCATGCACGCGCGTGTCTAATAACATCCACAATAATAGAGACTGGTGGACAGAGTCAATTGTTTTCACTATACCGATCCTGAGACAACCATCGACTGCACAACAGCCCAGCGACAGAAATCAGAATTTAATCTCCTCAACTGAGCGTTGTAATGAGAAGCAAATCGATCAACAGAAAGTGGACCCCACCTAGAATCCAACTGGGCAAAGATCTCACAATTTAAAGACCAGTCATGTGCATCTTGGTCCACAAAACGACTTAAAAGATCAGCTCTAACATTAGCATCGCGAGGAATCCACTGCGCATCAATCTGAATATCATTCACAAGGCACAGCTGAAAAATATCGAGCGCTAAACACTGAAGATGCTGCTTTGGGCTGCCAACCAAAACAATCCTAGATGCATTCTCGTTATCCGTAAAAACTTTAACCTTCTTGTACCTGAGAGATGCAACATGCGCATTGATAACATAGAAAATGGCTTAAGCTCTCTGAAAGTAGAACTCTGCTGATACTTAAAACGGCTAAACATACCACTGAGAGGCTGATCATTCAATTTGATACGATATCCTCCAAAGGCGTAATCACTAGCATCGCAAAAGATTACTGCACCTGGGGTAAGCTTAGTATTGGTAGTATTACTTGATATTAGTAGACCAGAAACGCAATTCTTCCGATAAAGGCGAAGAATGAGGAAAGGAACTATCCCAGAATGAACGGGCTTGAATAGTTGCATGCATCTGCCTCATGAATAGCCTAGCAATAGGGCCGACTGCCAAATACAGTGCATTGATGAAGCCGGCCACTCGAGCAAGTTTCCTAAAAGTAACGCTCCCAGAAGAAATCATGGAGTCGAGGTTGCTCTTAAGCTTGGCAATTTTCTTAGGCGGGACTCGGAACTGCATTTTAATAGTGTCAGTTACAAAACCCAGCCATTGACTGACTTGCATTGGCTCTAACATAGATTTCTCTCTGTTCAGCTTAACCCGCACAGTTTCAAATCCTTCTGATGCAATAAACTAGCAGCAGACGCAGAAACCCTCTTGGGGTGTCTAAATAGCACTTATCTGGAAATCTGACAAATGGTAATCTATAGCCTTCAGAAATCAGGCCTAAAACAAACTGTGGGGCACAGATGGTGGATTCCCAATAACTGAAACACTGCTTCAGGTGACCTTTTACACCAGAGGAGCCTTCAACCAACTCTACCCCGCTTCCTAAATAGTCATCAATCAAAGGGTACTCATCGGTTTCGACAACATCCACATCAACGTCAAAAGCTGACTGTTCAGATTCGGCTAGTCATCCCCGGCTGGGCGGACGGTCTGACGAGGAAGCGTTGACAGAGCTCTTGGGACAATTACAAATTAAGTGCCCAAATTCCCAACACTGAAATAAAGAAAAAGAAAGGAACTTGAATAGAGAAACAAAATGAAATAGCGCTGGTAACACACCGAGAGAATGAACCCATACTAAATACTCGCTTAAATACACTTACCACGGAAAACCCAAGGGACTACAGGACTACCCGCACATGTACGGATTCCAAACGCACAGAATACAAATATATGCTAAACTGCGTATCGCACATATTATGCTAAACCATGGACTAAAGAATAAACAAAATCATCAGTAAATGAGTTTTATTCGTGTGATATTTTTATGCCTACTGGTGTAAAGTGCGTTGATGATGATGATGATGATGATGATGATGATGATGATTACTGTGATTGTTTTTCAGATGCCATGCAATAACTGGCAAGTGTTTCTGTAAGAATGGATTTACAGGCTCACAATGTAATCAGCAGATAAGTAAGATACGTGATTGTTACACTATGATGTACTACTTTCTTATAAATTTATCTTTTGATTACTCAGAGCTGCAATACAGTGGAACCACAAGTTGCTACCACCCCTTGTAAGCAACCACCTCTCCTCAGCAACTACTTTTCCAAAATACCAAAAGTATCCCAGTCAAATCACTATATTTGGAACCTCTTGTAAGTGACCACCTGTCATAAGCAACAGCAACCACTTTTAAAGCTAAAAGTTTGAAATTTTCTTTTGTATTTAACTTCCTGTAAGCGACCAATTGACAGATAATAGAGTGGAAATTGGATAATAAGGTCTTGTAACTTTATTGCATTCATGGGTAGTACAAGAGACAAAAATCTCTCAATGGGAAGAACCGGATTTTTTTCTCGAAACTGACTTTTCACATGAATAAAACCATATGCTGATGAGGCAACATTTTGACCCATTATGGTCTGAGCTCTCGTAAGCAACCACCTCCCATAAGTGCTTACAGGAGGTTCGGCTGTATCTGCTTTAATCTTCACCCAAAAAAGGATATCAACATGTTTTGTGTCCACTTGAGTCCGAATAAATGTGGAAATATAATGTGCCTTTTTTTCTGGCATGGCCTTCCATTCACACTAAAACAGCCTCAAAATTTCTTTGTGTGGATGTGCCCCTAGCGTAAGTGAGATGTCATTTAATGTAACTTACAGATATTCCAAGACTTGTATTCATTTAGTATTAAAAACTGGTAAGATCACTAGAATGCAACTTAAAGAATTTTTTTTATTATCACTACTGCTAATGATTTCCTGGTTTTACTTTATTTATTTTACAGAATGCAATGTTGGCTATTATGGCAATAATTGTAAAAAGAGGTGTAACTGTAACAATGCTCCATGTGATGTTGTTACTGGTGTCTGTGATTGCCCAGCTGGTGTAATGCTTCCATCCTGTACTAACAGTAAGACACTTATTTACCTCCTTGTAGTATTTTACTTGAAAACTAAGTAAACGTAATTACCAAGTCATACTCCTGGGTGTGTAGAACTATTTTGAGAATGAGTGTTTTATTTTCCAACCTGACAACTTGAGCACAATGTTCAGGACAGGGAGGAGTCACCCAAGAGTGCAAACTGGCCAGAGTGTGGTGCTCTGATGACCATTACACCACTGCCTCCTGACATTCTTTTGATTTAAGTTTTTGAAATTCTATACAAAATTTATTTGTACAACTGCAGTTACAGTAAACAGGAACCTTTTATTGTCAACTGGTCCAAGATAAATTCATCAGAGAATACGGAACACATTTCCCCATTTTAGAAAGATACTGTTGCCATTGGTAGTTGTGTCTGTTGATTGATTTGGTTGTTTTGACAGAGTGTCCATCAGGTAGTTATGGTTACAAGTGCCTGGAGGATTGTCAGTGTCAGAATGGTGCTTTGTGTGATCCAGTGAATGGTGCTTGTTCCTGCACAGCAGGCTGGCAAAGCACATTTTGCGAACAAGGTGAACAATATCAGAAGTGAAATAGATGTGTAGAAGGTTTTCAACTCATTTGGCATGAGGAAAACCAACACTGAGCAAGGTGTTTGAGTGCTTTCTATTCTCCTGGTTGTCTTTTTAATCTTACAAAGTATGATTTTGACTTGCTCCTGTCTGATCTTAAATTTCAATCAGTACAGCAACAGTGATTTAATCCAGAAAATTTTTTTTGAGCAAATGCTAATACTAGGAAAGAAATTCATGGATTTATTTCTGAACTTGACAATTTACCGTAGAGTCTGGTGAGATCACTGATTTCCCATTTGTGTCTTTTTGAGGGTTCATTCAAACTGGGGACAGTTTTGTTTCTTGCAATGTCATGGGCACTATGAAAGAACAACAATACAAAACTGCACTTTTTGTCCATCTGATACTTGAAGGTCTGGTGGATTCCGTCTAACTCTGTGTTACTGATTGTGTACAGGTTGTCCCGATGGCTGGTATGGTCAGGGATGTAACAGTAGCTGTGATTGTTTACATGGCTCTACATGTCATCATGTCACTGGAAAGTGCACCTGCAGTGCGGGATGGCAGGGACTCACTTGCAACAGTTGTGAGTAACTAGCTTCACTTTACACTAATAATTAATTTTTGCAGTTTCTGAGTGTTGGAAATTAGAGAAAGTTGACATAATTGTAAGCACTGTAAGTGTAATGTGTTTTTGCCCAGTGCCAACCTGCTTCATATTTAAATAAGCAACAACTACAACAAAGTAAAGATAAAAATAATGAAATCAACCAGGAAACCACATTGGAAAAGCTGGTAAAAACCTGTGATGCTTGGCAATCAGAAGTCAGGATAACTTCGAATCCGGTAGATAATAAACTTTGTTTTGTCCAGCAAGGTAGTGGGAATCTTCTCTTTACAGAGGTGTCAATTAATACAGGTTTGACTGTGCGATATTTTGTAGATCAATGAAAACCTCTCCTAAACTGATACTTTGTTTATTTATCTAGTACATGTAATGTTTCATTTTCAGCGTGTGATAGTGGATTCTATGGATATGGCTGTCAATCTATTTGTCAGTGTTATAAAAGTAACACCATATCATGTGACCCTGTTGATGGGCGGTGCTACTGTGACCCGGGATGGACTGGGAAAGAGTGCACTTTGTGTAAGTACAATATGTGATTAATGCCTGTAAAAGCTAATAAAAGCTGGGAAATATTGCAGCATCATAAACTACAATCTTTGTTTAAAAAGAAAAAGCTACAGATCTTAAAAGCTCAGTGGTGAGATTGACCTATTGAAGGAACCTGGGACTATCATGTCACACAGTTGTGTGACGGAAATATTGCGTGAACTTTTTACAGGACAGGTACGGGGTACACTACGTCACTGTTATGCATTTTTCGGTAACTGACGCTCTTAAAATCTTGAAGCCACGATGAATTACGTACGCACTCGTAATAAAAAAAAATTGTCATTGAAAGTAAATTTAATTTATATTCTTGTAACGCCGTGGAATGTGCTAAAACCTGACTCCCAGGTTTTCTCCACTTCCCTTCTCCGGGAAGAGAGATCCTGGGAGCGAGGTTTGTGGAACTAATTGTAGTGTTCTAGTGTTCTTCTTACAATCCTTATCACCACAACAAGGAGAGGAACTAAGAAGTTTTTTCTCTCTTAGTCTGTCCAAGAGGAAAATTTGGTCCAAACTGTTCTAAAGATTGCAAGTGCAGAGAGCAGTCAACAGAGAACTGTGATCACGTGACTGGGGCATGCACCTGTCTGGAGGGGTGGATTGGGGACAAGTGTGACAGGAGTAAGTAATGTGTAAAAGAAAGTCACTTTCATATCAAAGGCCCAACTGAAATATCAGTTGTCTAAGATAGAGAAACAGCAATAAAACAGATAAAGAACGATTGCTAATCAAGACTGGACACAAGTTAAATCTTGAGTTTACCATATACAATATTGTGACCCTTGACAGACCAAATGAGGGAGTGATTGAATATCTCCGTGGTTTTTTGAATCCTTGCTACATCTGGATTTGTCTCTGGTGTGCATAAGATTGCTAGTCAGATAGTTGTATTTCTAAGTTATATGATGTCCTCTCGTTTGACATTTGGTCATGCCAAAGGAAATGATGTGTTTTTCTTTGAGCTTGTTTTACTGGTTTTCCTTTGCTTGTATTCTGGTGATGTAATCCGGTCCGTGTTGACGGAAGTTTATAGTTTATGTACTATTGGTTTGCAGCTTGTTCTGTTGGTTTCTATGGTTACAAGTGCAAGAAGGAGTGTGAATGTAAATTTCCTAACATGGATAAAGAATGTGATTACAGAAATGGAGAGTGTAACTGTGAGCCCGGATTCACCAGTGAATACTGTAATCAAAGTATGTTGTATTTACTACAGTCAAATTAAGTCGTATTTCCTGACAAATTGACATTTTTGTTGTTAAAGGGAGGGTTTCACGATTCGGCACATGCTCAAGGTATCACGTCAGCCTATTTTATAACCTGGTTTTCACTAGCGACGCAAGCACAAGCGCAAGCACCAACGCAAGCAATAGGGATGACCCAAGTGAAAGCGAAATTCGACGCAAACACAAGCACAAGCAAAATCATCCGAACCTTCCGCCGTTTTGGAAAACTGTTTAGGCGAGAGGTAATCTGGATCCAGCGTTTTCATTGGCCAAACATAATCACGTGAAGTAAAATCCTTGTGTTTGTGTTATGGCTGAGCGGTATTTCGTTTTCACTTGTAGCAGCGCAAACAAAAGCATAAGTGCAAGCACAAGAAAAAGGAAAAATTTTTATCCTTGTGCTTGCGCTTGCGCTTGTGTTTATGCCTGCGTCAAGGCCGTTTTCTTGTGCTTGTGCTTGTGCTTGCGTCGCTAATGAAAACCAGCCTTACTTTACTGAAAGTTTCTCAGGGTAATTTTCCTCAGACCATATGGTAATAACTTTTGAAATTATTGTACCACTGAAACGCATTAAGCCATTCAAGCGTCACGTTTATAATTATAAAGGTGCTGATTTTGCTGAGCTACGAAATCTCCTACATTTTGTACCTTGGGATTTGGCTTATGAGGACGATGACATGGAACTCTCAACCGCCAAGTGGATGGATCTTTTTCTTGCAGCTGCTAATGATTGTGTTCCTAAAATAAAAGTTAGGTCGGCTAATAGTACTCCCTGGATTGACGCTGAAGTTCTGAAAGCTGTGAGAAAGAAGGAGAGACTCTGAAAGAAAGCTAAAAAAACCTCCCCTGTACACTGGGCTACATTCCGAAGATGTCGGGCGGAACTCAAGTCCCTCATCAAATAGAAACGTAAACAGTACTTTAAAGGGTTGTCATCTACTTTGACAGGGAACCCCAGGCGATTCCGGGCCTATTATCAATCCAAATATAAGAACAAAAGACTTCCATCTTCTGTCCAATGTAATGGAGCCAATGTGTCTGACGCTCAGGATAAAGCTGAGTTATTTAACAACTATTTTAAGTCAGTTTTCAGCTTATGTCATTGTTTCTGAAACAATCTTAAGTGAGCTAATAACACTGATAGGGAATTTTCCTTTGAAATTTTGTAGTCAGTGGCGAAAACGTGGAAAGTAGTGGCGATTTTTCTCATAACAATCCTTTTGTATTTTCTGACTTCCGTGCACCACTCAATTCGATTGTTTATGAACCAATCAATTGCTAGCAGAAAACTCGTTCGTTTGTTCAGAGTAAATCCTTTGCCCGGAATAATAAATACGATGTTCAATGGTGACTAAACTCGACATTTTCTGTGTACATCCGTCGAAATGTTTCGTGAAATTTTGGCACAAGTTACAAATTGTGGCTCAGTAAGAAAACGAAAATGATGCTCTGTACACATGCACCGAATCCTGAGACTATCTCTTTTTTAAAGTTGCTATTTGGGATTCTTAACTATTTACGTTCTGTTCATAAAAGGCTAAAAGTTTCTAAAATTTTAAAACCCAAAACTTAACCTTTTATAAACATCTAAAAAGCAACTATTATGACAACAATTTATGTGCTATTTTCAATGTTTGTTTAATTATTTATAGTGTCCCCAATTAGCACAACAGTGCTTATTACATTTGACACTTAAATAAAGTTACTTTTTTGTTTTGTTTTGTTATCTCTTGACAGCCTGTCCGGAGGGTACCTATGGATTTAAGTGCGAGGAGAAATGTCTTTGCCAGAATAATTCAACCTGTGATAATGCATTTGGTTATTGTGATTGTTTACCTGGATTTCAAGGAAAGTTTTGTGAAGAAGGTATATTCAATTTGATAGTTAGTCGACCTTTTAAGTGTGACTGTGCAAATCATACCTGGGTTGTCTACTGGAAGACAGAATGTTAATCTAGAGCGGGAGTGACAAGAAGAAGTTCATTTTGATTATCGAAGNTCTTAAGGATTTTTAGCGTTTGACCAGAGTGTTTTACTGGTGAACTACCACTGTTCGAACTGCATTAAGGGAATCTTTCTTTACAATATTTGCCTCATTAGTATAAGCGCTTCAGCTTGTGATTGAACTAAAAAAAGAACAACCCTGAATGTTGAAAGGGCGTGGGCGTAATTTGGTGGCGCTGGGGCATACCGTAGTGGTTAATACACTGGACTATGGGTCGAGTGGCCTGGGTTCGAGCTCTAGCCGGAGTCATTGTGATTTGTTCTTGAGCAAGACACTTAATTCTTACAGTTCCTCTCTCCAACCAGCGGTATAAATGTGTAACGGCGAGTTGTCCGGGCAACCTGACTGAATGGCCGGGGGGTAACCTTGCAATGGACTAGCATCCTATCTTTGGGGGGCGGGGGCGGGGGTAACAATACTCCTAACCACTTCATGCTACAGAAACCGGAGGTTAAGCATCGAGAGCTATGATTTACAAAGAATTAGTTGTCTCATTGGCCTTAATACCAACTAGAAATGTTCAGTTTCTAATTTAAGTCAATATCTCTTTTACTATAACACACAGAAGATCTAAAGTTTCCACCCATTACTAAATTTCACAAGCTTTTTAAATGACTGAAGTCAATTCGTAACTGGCATGATGCTTTCTCTACGTACGAGACAAAATGCAAACAATGAAATCACCAAAGAATCCCCTCATATGGCCTTTCTCCAGTTATAATTTAAATTATTTGTTATAACCGGCTTTTACCTCCCTTTTGTTCCCTGTTTCCTGGTCGTAACTATTACATTGTGATTTTCGTTTTAGTTGTTACCCAGCTCAGCACCGTTGTTCCCAGTGCCGATAATAAAAACTCGTCCAAATCAGGCCGTTCGGCAGGAACTGGTTCCAGTTCAGTTGTGACGCCAGTGGTGGTTGCTGTGGCTGTCACCATGGTAGCCATTATCCTTATCATTGTGTTTGTTTACTTGAGAAAGAAGCATATCTTGATATCCAGGACAGGGAAGGGGTAAGATCAAGATTTTAGTGACATCTATCAAGTTTGTCCTTTTACCCGAAAAAAAAAATTGGCGTCAGCTTTGAAAACACTTCCCCAGTCAGGCAGTTTTCTTTCTCACTGGCACAGTAGAAAATCAAATTTTTTCCATTTCAAGATTTCCGTGACACTTCTGTTCACATGGTTTCTTTCCAGTGACGTGATTTTCAGGTAGCGGGTTAATCGAGTTGCGTTTGCCGGCATATCCACACGGTAGCCAAGCATTCTCGGCAAGCTGCAAATCTTGTAGCCATCCTGTTATCACTCAATCCACCTGCTATAAACTGTTGTCCACTCATCTAAAGTGTTGTAGGGAGGTCTAATGTTTGGCGCAGTAGGGTTGAATCCGAAGGTCTCGCTTGTATCTTTGAACAAGAAAATTAATGCACAAAGGTAAGGAGAATAAATGAGTATTGGCGGATTGTTGGGGAAACCTTTTGGGGATGGCAATACCTCTCGTCGTTCCTTGTGATGCTATGACCCTGTTTCACTAATCCTCCGAAATTCCACGGGGTATCCTTCGCAACGTACTGTAGTCTTTTTTCAATTTTTTTTTTTTTTCAATTTTTTTTTTCTGAGTTACCGTCTTTTCTCTCGAGCTAAAACCAGATAAAATGAGACGTTCTTTCTCAGGATAACGTTGTCTTCACACATTCTGGGAACTGAAATGGTCATTGTTCTCTGAAAAGGGATTGTTGTTGTCAACAATTGAGTTAACTGGGCCTATTTTTATTTTCCAACGAACCTGGAGTGTATTCATCGCCGATTGATTCTTTCTCTTGTATCTAGCTTGTCAGTGAGGAGACTTGTTAAATCCCCAAAGAGTCGACGTGAGTATTTGTCTCGTTCGTATGTAATTTACGTTTGAATCTAGCTAGCCTGCAAAGCAATCGTTTCTTTTCCGCGAGAGCCGAACGAAAGCTCTAATCCCCGTCGCCTCCAGTTTTTTTGGTTTCTCGTGCTCCAAGCTTTCGTTCATCTCTCACGCGCTCGGAAATAAAGAGACAAGCTAGCGTTAGCCTCAGCTATTTATCAACTTGAATTTGACATAAAGGTAAGCTAACTGCTGTAGTGGCTTTTATTTTATTTCTATTTATTAACTTCAAGTTGATTAAGGTAAATTAACGGCCGTAGTGTTAGCTCTTCGTTGGAGCAAAAGTAAGTGGCTACGACAAGTATTTCTCTGGAATAGACACTTCTGTATTAAAAAATAGCCATAAGCTATCCCTTATGTTTTCTTTTTCAGAAAAAGAATTTGACGATGTAAGTGAGGCCGACGATGACGGTGATTACGTGACAGAAGACGTGTCGGTAAACCCCATATATGGCCATTTATCAGACCCAGATTCCATTCCTCTGGATTTGATCCAGTCCCCTGGAGACAAACCCACGTCAATGACAATGAAATCTATCAATAATCCAAATTACGAAAGCACGTTAACGCTTTGTGCTCAACGTGAAAAAGTAGCTAGTAATCCAATATACCAGACAGCAAACGATATTGAACAAGACAATCCATTGTACGAGACCGGGGCTGGAGAAGCCGAAAGAGGGATTTCTAATGTCGATATAAACCCACTTTATGAACCAGGCCCTGCCGGAAGTGTTAGCGGGGGATCTGGTAACTTGGCTGATTTGAATCCTTTGTACCAGTCCGCTGTTTCGTATCGCAGTCAGAGTGATTTCAATCCCTTGTACGAGGGTGCGTCTGACGTGAGCCCGCTGTACGAATCAGCGGAGTGGCCGAGTCGTGACGCAAAAAGTGGTAAAGTGCGACGGAGGGTTGATTCGCGATCGAAAAAAGAAGACAAACAATGCATGGAAGATGAATTACCCATCATCGATGGAGAGGCCTCTTACTGGCATACAAATGATGACGGTGGGCTTGGCGTGAGTAACAGGGGTGCTGATATACCATTTAATGAACTGTACGGAAGCGTAGGACAGACTGACTCCTCCCTCCAGGAAAATGACCCCGAAGCCCCCCCTGTACCTCCAAGAGTGCATGTCAAGCGATCCTGATGAATCTGGTAGATAGGTAGGAAGAGTAGTCAGGTAAACTAGATGAGGAGGGACTGGGAGAGAGAGCCTCGAGAGCATCAGAATCTTCTACTAAGGTAGGTCTTGGCTTGGTTTAATGCTTGGCATGTTTTTAAAACTGGTTCAGTGTGAGCCTGCTTCTGGTGTAAAAAGAACTTATAAGCACACTGGCCTATAATAGTATTTTGAAACATTTAGCCAGATTTTTTCAATTCAGTCGTTCTTCATCTTTCTGGTCTATCTTTTTCTTTTTTAGCTTATTGGTGTTTTACTAGTTTGGTTTCTATTGCTTTGAGGTTTTTATCCCATGTGAAGGTCCTTCATGAAATAGAATTTATCAAGTTCAAATTTTTTAACTGTGGGATAAAGGTGTAATTGGAAGAAAGCCCATTGCAG